AGGTCCATCATCAGTACAGGGCCTTGCAAATCTTCAAAGTACAGAGGTATCACATCATGCCCTTCATATTTCTTCACCAGCTTTAAAATGCCATTGTCACTGGAAATCTTCAACAACTTCTTTGTTGTTTTTAAATTCTTGCCAGGCTTGTGAGAAAATATATCAACTGCGCTTGCTTTGCCCCCTGCCTTCTTAAATACATCAAAAAGTTCAAACATGGATAACCTATCCATGTCATAGAAGTCAACTGCAACTCGATGGCCACCAAAGTAGTGCACAAATGGCATAAACTTTATCTCTCCCCCAACTCTAACATAAAAAACAAAAGCCATCACCTGCAAAACCAATAATAGAATCAAGACCCAAAAAAAAAGCCATCATAGAATAAGGAACAAAATTCCCTATACCCTAAAACTGATTTTAATTAGAATAAGGAACAAAATTCCCTATACCCTAATTTGAAAATGCCCTAATTTGCAAATGCCCTAATTTCACTAAACTTGATTTCTGTATAATGAATTCAGAGCAAACAATAAACCAATACTTAGTCTCAACAAATTGAAACCCTAATTTCAAAAAATGATTTCAATTCGTAAATGACCTAATTTGACATAATAGATTCAAGACTAAATTCGAAACCCTAAATTCGAAAATGCACAACAAATTGAAACCCTAAATTCGAAAATGCACAACAAATTAAAACACTAAATTCGAAAATGCACAAAATACTGAAACCCTAATTTCAAAATAAAAAATTACCAATCTCAGATCTACCAAAAAAATAACAACCAATCTCAGATCTACCAAACAAATAACAACCAATTAGCAAAAGCCCTATCGAAATTCAATGAAGGTTAGGAAAAATTACCTTATATTTCTTCAAGAAAAAACGCGTGCGTAGATTTCTTCAAGCAAAAACCCTAGGTAGTCAAATTTCAGCCCTAAGCGAGCATGTTTCTGAGATTTGGATTGCGAAGAATAGGCTAAGAATTATTTTGAGGTTTGGATTGCGAAAAATTTTCTTCAGGTTTCAATTTTGAAGTTTTCGATCGCGAAGAGAGAGAGATAAAAAAATTTTCGTCTGTTCAATTTCGTTTTGAAGAGAGAGAGAGAGATTTTTTTAAGACTGACGTACATCGTTTGTTTTTGAGGGCATAACGGGAACTTAAGCAAAAAATTAACGGAGTTAACACGGAAACGAGGACGGCGGAGCGTGCGCAAGCAGAAGTATAATAGAAGGGGGTATGGCGCAATTTTTAAAATACAGGGGGGGTTCGTATAATACAGGGGGGTTTGGCGCAATTTACCCTATAATTTTCATATTTTGTATTTCTTTTCTTGCCATGAAATCCCCTTATATATTAATACAAAACGTGTTGAGCCTACGTGGCTGCTTTTGGTGCTTCGAAAT